GTAAGAAACTCAAACCATGTTTTCATTGTGATCATTTGTGATTTCTAAAACTCTCATCGCGTGCCCAGCCACTGCCTTCCATGTTGTGTGGCATCTGATTTTACTTTGCTTTCTTTGTGAAAATGGGATTTTGGTAGCTAATTCCACCTTTGTGTTTGCCTTTCTTTGCTGGTAGATTTGACCTGTGAGGTGCCATAGCCTGTGCTGCTTGTACAGGTCCCAGGTCTTAGTCTCTGCTTGAAATTCCACACTAAATCATTCAGCTTGTGTTTGTTAGAAAGTTCTTATGAAGTACATTTTACTTTAGACTCACTGGAGTCCTTTCAGGTTTTGAATTGATTTATTTTTGGAAAATTAAGGATACACATATGACACACATAACATTCATAGTTGAAGAATCTGCTTGAGAGATATGACCATGCGCCTGTGCTGAGGATATGTGAGTATAAGTAAGGGAGACCCAGACTCATTCCCTCGCTCTAGTGAATGAATTAGATGTAGCCTGTTTATTTTCAGGCAGTGGTATGAGGAAGCCAGAATAGCTGTCTTTCCATCATAGTTTCCAGAGCATGGTGAAAACGTTTGTACATGGAGAATGCTGAGGTTGGAATATGGCAAGCTACAAGAGGTGACTGTCCCATGTGAAGACAAGCATTACCAGAGTCCTTTCTTGGATGCATATGTTCTCATCATGGGTCCAGCACAAGCTGGTTGTTCTAGGTCTGTCTAGTAGAGTCCTAATGGTGTCATTTAGATAAGAGCAGGAGTCCCACGTTGTCTGATAGGCTGATTGGGCTTTTCTTTATATATTAAAACTAAATTTCAGCATTTAATGAAATGAGTACATACATAAGAATATATATTCTAAAGAATCATAAATGGAATATAAACTCTCCTTTCATGGAATATAAGTTTAAGGCATGTTACATTTGTTTATGCTATGGAACATTTAATAATGCAAAGATGTGTTGCATTCTTTTATGTTGTGTTTGTTTAACTCTGTGAAATTGTGTTACTTTGCCTGTCTAAATCACCTGATTGTTTAATAAAGAGCTGAACAGCCAATATGAGGCAGGAGAGATAGGCAGGGCTGCCAGGCAGAGAGAATAAATAGGAGGAGAAATAGAAATCTAGGCTTGAGAAAAGGGAAGAGGAAGGAGCAAGAAAAAGAGAGGAGGATGCCAGGAGCCAGCCACCCAGCCACACGGCCATCCACAGAGTAAGAAGGAAAGAAAGATATAATAAAGAAATAGAATAAAGAAAGGTAAAAAACCCAGAAGCAAAACATAGTTAAAGAGAAACAGGATAATTTAAGTTAGAAAAGCTGGCTAGAAACACTTGGCCAAGCTCCTGGAGTTCAGTTGAACAGAGGGAGGAGGGATTATAGGAGCAAGGGTGGTATAGATCATGATGGGAAAAACCACAGAGACAGCTGACCCAAGCTAGTGGGAGCTCACAGACTCTGGACTGACAGCTGGGGAGCCTGCATGGGACCATACGAGGCCCTCTGAATGAGGGTGACAGTTACGTGGCTTGATCTGTTTGTGGGTCCCCTGGCAATAGGACCAGGACTCATCCCGGGTATATGAATTGGCTTTTTAAAGTCCATTCCCTGTGGTGCCATGACTTACTCAGCCTTGTGCAGTGGGGGGGGGGGGAGGCGCAGCAGGGGCTTGGCCCTGCCCCAGCGTGGTAAGCCAGCCTGTGTTAAATACCCAAGGGAGGCCTTACCCCTTGTGAGGCGTGGGTGGGGGTAGGAGGCGGGGGAAGTGGAGGGGGAATAGTGGTTGGTATGTAAAATGAAAAGAAAATTTTAATTAAAAAGAAAGAAAGGAAGAAAATCTGGCTAGAAACAAGCCAAGCTAAGGCCAGGCCTTCATAACTAAGAATAAGTCTCTGTGTATTTATTTGGGAGCTGGGTGGTGGGCCCCCAAAGAGTTTAAAAAAAAAAAAATCCAACCACACTTTCCCTCTTCCCCAAGTTTCTCCTCGTAAAAGCAATTATTGTTAACAGTTTTGCGTGTATTTCAAATTAATTTATTTTTGTGTTGACCATCAAACCCAGAGCCTTATATATACTAAACAGATACTTCACTGCCGAGCTGTATCCCTTCCCCCAGCTGTATTCCTAGCCTGGGGTGTTTTTAAAGTACAGACTCCACATCTAAATATTTGTTTTAAGATGCTCTACACCGAAGGCGCTGTGGCTGTGATCTTGCCGTCTTCGTTCTGGGTTGTCCTGTAGGATGAAACATGAAGCATATTCCACATGAAGATTCCACATGAGCATACACAGACCATTCACCTGTTCTTGTACATGAAATCGCTGGCTGCTGTCTTGTGTTATATTCCCCACAATTGGGGAGCATTCAGGCTGTGTTGCTGGCAGTCGTTTGGGGTTTAGTTGCTGCCCTCACTGCTAGTACAGGAGCTGTTTCTACCTCAGTCTGACTGAAGTAGTTATGGTCTCTTCTGGATCAGTAACTAAAAATTACCATCAAGCAGTCCAGGAGCCGCTGGCCACCTCTTTTTTTTTTTTTTTTTAGCATGTGGTATAGTGATTATGATATAATAGGCGTTAAGAATAGTTTATTAAGTACTTTTGTGGTGAAGCTTTGTTCGAGTGAAAAATGGCCATTGTAACTTTCGAAACTAGACTATTGGTTCTGAGGAGGGGTGTGTGCGCCGTTGTTTTCAGTGTGTTCTGTGGCTGTGTTTGATGTGTGCCCTTAAGATGCTGTCAGACTCCCTCCCCAGCCAACAGACCTGCAGATGCGGCATTGCGGACGCAATTTGGGTCATGAATGCTAAGCTAAGTGGTCTCGGGGAGTTTGCTCATACAGCAGGTCAGCCTGTCTTCTAGTGTCAGCAGTGTTGTGTGAGGTGGTGAGAGAGGAAGCCTGTGGCTGTGTAGTTGAGTTTTCTCTCCACCAGAGTGAGCTAGTTGCCCTAAAAATCAGGAGAAGGCATTCCTTGCCCTTGATTTCAGCTCTGGTTCGCTCTCCTTTTATAATGGCAGTGTGTGCTGAGTTCCTCGTGTCCGCAGTGCTGTGAGTTAGGTCTTCTGTAACGTAGCAGATGGAGCCAGTGCTCCGTCCTCCTAACTGCTGGCTGCTGACCCTTTCTCTGACTCCTGGCTTGTAGCCGGGCTGGTGGTTCAGGCAGTCAGTCTGCTCAACCATTACGGTGATTCATTCAGAAAGTCACCTTTCAAAACAGCAAGGGTGTATGCTCTAAGGTGGACGAACTTGAGCTGGAGTGGACAGAAAGGGTGTCTTCATTATGTCAGGTGTGAGGTTAAGCGTAGGCGGGGCATGACTAAATATGAGGCTTGCGTTTCACTCCCCAGGCGCTGCCAGCCGAGTGACCGTGCAGCCTTGGGTTGCTGTGGAAATCTTGTGCCTCCCTCCGAGCTGCCATCAGGATTGAATGAGGCTGCGTGTGCGAAAGCCTCAGTGCTTGTGAGTGTTTGAGGTTATTGTTAGAGTCGGCCGAATGGCAGGAGAGCCAGGGATTGAATGACTTCTGTCAAACTGCCATTTTTGTGCGTTTTATAAATCTTTAATGGAAAGTTCCTGTTAATGAGATTTTTCTTTCACTTGATTCTGATTTAAATATTTGAGACACCCAGAACGGGAGGAATGAACTGGTGTGTTGAAGTAGGATAAAATATGGGAGAAAAGACATAAAGCAAGGAGCTAGCTTTGCAGTTTTGTTTACCAGGATACATGTTGCTGCCATGTCTGTCGCCTCCTCCACATTGTCTCTGCCCTTCTCCGCTGCCTGTCACACAGTGAGATGTTGTCATTCAGCTAGGACAGTACAGATGGTGTGGGTGCACCCTGGAGTCCTTCTTCGTTGTACTATAGTGACCTGCTTTGTTTTGGGTTCTAGAGATGCTGGAGGTGGTAAACGTAGCTGCTGTCTTTGCTGGGGTGCTGACTCTGGTCATATTTATTGGAGTCCAGAGTTACAGAAGGGAGTCTGTGATTAACATCTTCAGCTTTATAAAGATCCAGATTTTCCTCCCCAAAGGCTTCTGAGTGGCAGTGTTAAATGCTGTGCTCCCTGGGAGCTCCGGTTTCACGAGGATGGACTCACCACATTTCCCAAGTTGTCTTTCAGTGGTTAATGTCAGCCCAGGAGTCTTGGCACATAATTGCTTGTTATGACACCACATAACATTTACAGTCCATGAACTTCCTCGCAGGGCCATCCTGTTTGGCACCAGCGAGCCCTTGAGTGTTTGTGGAGATAACTGGCAGTGTCAGCTTTGAAAGTGCTGGAACGACAGGGCTGCCCACGGAGCTGAGGCTTGACTGGAGCGCAGTTTCCTGATCTGTTTCCAGTGCACGGACAGTGTAGTAGACAGATACGTGTTACTCAGAGGAGCCAGATTCTGGATGACTGAATCGCTGATCCAGACAAGACAGCGGTGTTTGGGAGGGGGATTTAAAAAGGAAGAGAAGGTTTAAAGTAACAAAACCAGAAGGAATTTGGGAGAAAGAGCAAGTACCTCCCTAGCATCTTTCCCTCTTCCTGGGGCTCCTTCGCAGGTTCAGACCTATCAGGGAGGCTGCTAACATTGGGAGGTGGCCCTGGGCCATCTACTTGAATGTTTTGGCTCCAGTGTCTGCTCCAGCCCCATTGAGCTGCCTTTTGTTTTACTAAGGATTATTTTTAGGAGTGTAATTCTCTAAAATATGAACTCTGCAGATAAGTCACACAAATGCTTGACAGATGTTGCTTGAGGTGGTGACCACTCAGGTGTTGTTAGCCCTGCATCTGTAGGTATTTCCTGTACTGCTGCTGGGTTAGACCTGATTGTGTGCCAACTACCCCAAGTTCCCCTTTGGGATATGATTTACAGCTCTGATAAATTGGGGTTTAGGAAGCTCCGACTTTTTGATTTCTATAATGATATCCTTATTGTTGTATATCCTCTGATTCTTTTGATTGGATCAAATATAAAATACATTTGAGCTAAGAAGATGAAAAAA